AAGGGCTTTGTCAACGACACCATCACTGAGAAGAATTTTGAACGCCAAGACCGAAGAAACCAACGACTACGCGATGAGCTCGAAGCAGTCAAGGCTATCAAAGGAGGCCCTAAAGAAGGCAGAGGCACCCACATAAGGACCAAGACCCTTCACCGAAGAAATGCTCCCACTGCAAAAACCGCGACCTACACATTGCCGCTGGACTAGAGCACACCAAGACTGTTTGTCCTCTGAAGGACCAAGCCGGATCTTGGGCCAAGGCTGCAGCTGGAAAGGCAGCAGCCAAATATGCGAACGACAACAAGGGCGAGAAAACGCGTCCTATGGAAGAAGTTATCAAGGAGGTGTCCGAGAGTTGGGCAAAGTCCTAGACCTATTTGCCGGAGATGCTACCCTTGTAGTAGACTCTGGGACCCATCGCCAGAGATGCTACCCCAGTAGCGGACTCTGGAGCCCCCCTACCGGAGATGCTGATTCTTTAAGCAGACTATGGACCCCATCAAAATGCACATCACACATCGGAACCACCCCTGAAGCAACCAACATCACACTACGAGCTGCGCTCCGAAACCCAACCGCCACTACCATCACTCCACTCATGACAAGTCGTCATATTATTTAATCTGTTATAACTGACTTTTGTTCGTACCATTATCTGAACTTTCGAAGGTGAGAAACAATGTGTCTGCGAGGAAGAAGAAAGCGTGACTGTGGGGGTGGAAATTTGAAGGGTAGCTTCTGTGGGAGCGATCGGGATTGAGAACATGGGAATTATTGGAAGTGGATGTGAAGTCATGCGATATGCATGGCCCAAGATGACTGTATCCTTCTCCATCCGAGAGAATGGTGAGACGGTACCGTAAGACTTGGAAGACCCACCGGTAGTGCTCTTTGGACCCCACCGATCTTGGAAGGGGCTCCTAAACACTTACCCAGTGGATTTGTTGGTGATCGAGCGAGGTAACTACAAGCAACCCAGTGGTAGCCCCCATCGAGAACCATGGGAGGACATGGTGGAGTCCGTGCCTCCCGAAAAGCGACCAAAACTCGTCATTGAATGTTGGCGCTCTGATCCAACTCTATGGCAATATGGCCCAACCAGCAAGGCAACCACCACCAGATGGAGAGACATTGGCTACTACATCAATTGCCGAACTATCAATGCAACTTCCATCGGTGGAGCCATCAACCAAGAGAGACTCCTAGTGGCCCGCACTCGAGCTGACATTGGAGCACAATGGGTGTGGGACAACCTGGACAGAGATCTAGATGTGATTCGACCCATGGGAAATCTACTCACACCACCCGGTTTGGTACCAAGAGGCTCCTACTCTAACAACGGCACCAACCACACTCCGTATTCACTACACGACCCTATGCCCAACCAAATAGGAGCATACATTTGCACTGAAAAAGGAGTTCGGAGACTTTTGAATGAGGAAATGGCAAGAGGGCTTGGAATACCGAAAGGCCCAGAAATGAACTTGTCCAAGAAAAGCTTGCAACGAACAACATCGTTGTTTCATTGGGAATACCTATCACATTCCCTCCAACATCTGTTCCCCAAGCCTGCTTTGGAATCAAGACCTACGCCGGCTGAGGACGGACCCGGCAACGAGGCTTCATCACCTGCTGGACCCACGACCTACAAGGAGTTTGGTTGGGTTCCGGCAGATCTATCTCCAGGAGAAACTTGGCACCAGCAACGCATATCCAACCTCCGGTGGGCTTCAGAACACTATCCAGAGCCCAAGGACATCTTTGACGATGGCCTTCATCGGTTGGCTGTGCATTGACAGAACTACAACAAAGACGGACCTTCCCCAAAATGGCTTCAAATGCTATGGTGGGAATTCCCATCTGAGCGGAAGCCGGTCCAGTAGCAGTTGGCCTTGGCTTCTCCTTGGAAGACATCAAACTTTTCTTTCACCAAACGCACAAAGGCCAATCCAATTCGGCATGCAATGGCTGGGCTGTTTCCAGCCCCCATTGCAAGCCCGTAGTATGTCAACAGCTCCTCGGTTTTTGGGTGTAGAAGACCAAGATACGGCCGGTCTTCTGGGTGTGTTGGAAAGTTGTAGAAGAACTTGGACAAGTCCACAACTGCAGAGAATCCGCCAGTGTACATTTGGTCGACAATGTGGGCAATCCTTGGCATGAAGACCGGATCTTGTCCCACACAATCGTTCTGGCCGCCGCGTAGCATGTCCGCAATTACTCTCCACTCGCCAGGCTGTCCGTCTTTGCCGACCACAAAAAGTGGCGCATTGGTGAGGACTTTGAGGCCCTCGTCAATGTGTCTCAGCACTCCAAGTTCAACAAGTTCATCCACAAACTGGATGGCGGCTTCCAACATCTCTTCATCCATTGGGGCATTCGGTCGAATGTGGGGCTCCGGTCTCTCCAAAAAATTCTGTCTAGCGCCTGTTCGGAGTTCCTCCCAATAAAACAACGGATTTGATCCGAAACTTGGATACGGATTCATTCTTACTTCGGCCGATGGAGGAGCTGTGCACATCTGGGTTTGGGTTGATGACTTCCTTATCCATGGACCCTCCCATGAGAAGACCACTC